ATATAGGAAAAGATGATATTAGCCTTCTAGCTCATATGAACATATGAATCCAACAGCCTACATTGAATCTGGACCGATCTGACGATCACGGATGTCCAGTAGTACTTGAATTTTATTTATTTTTCTACAAATCCAAATCATTTGAAATTTTAGGTGTGTATTCTTCTCAGGCGCACCTAATAAAAATATAAAACAAATTATCCATAAATAAAATGACTAAAATACCCCCTGAAATATTTTGGGAGTATATTAATCAATATTTTTCATGTAAAATATTTTTTTGATATTTTTCAAATATTCTCCTATTTTTTATGAACACACACTCAAAATTTCAAGTGATTTAGATTTATAGAAAAAAAAAATTTAATTGAAATAAATGCAACCACTCAATTTCACATTCGATGGTCAAGATTTATTGTGACTACTTTGTACCATTGGTAAATGGTCCCATTATATATTTTTCCCTTGTCTCTATATGTATATATGTTTGGTTGGGCCATCCTTTTTCCTAACCGACCCAATTAGGTTAGAATATAGATAGAGCAGTGGTTTAAAAAACGGATCGGTGATTTGGATCGGGAATCCCAAAAACCGATCAGGATCGGCGAATTGGTGATCCGGATCGGGAGTCGGGCTAAATCGCTCTGATTAAGCCTTAAAAAAATTCAAAAAAATTATTAAAGTTCATTATAAATGTTGTTTTTTATGAATCCAATAAGAAATGAGGGTCCTACATTATTAACTTTCATTGTTTTTTTCAGTTTATGAATATTGAGATGTTCTTTCCCTGTATGAACTTATGTTGACCATCAAATTTACATCACACAAAAAAAATCATAGAATTATCGTGGATTAACTATATAATCACATATGGACTACAATAAAGAGTTACCTAAATTGATGAAAAATTGGTCACTAAAATATCGAATTGGCGGAAAACCCTAATCCGCTAAAAAAACCTAAATTATTACAACCTAACTAACTATAATATTACATGCCAACAATATTGTATAATTATTTTATCATATAAATAATAACAAATCCAAAATATTTTATAATATCATCTAATATAAAATGTATTATTGACAGCTGTAAGAAAAATAATACCTACATGATTTATAATAAAAAAAATTAATAAATAAAATAAAAGATTTGGTTATTAATGTAGAAATTATTAAAATGCGTACCAATTTTCTTTAATTTTTTAGGTTTCTATAATAAATTAATGGAAGAGATTGTTAGTAGAAAGAGAGAGATTTCAAATGGCCTCATTGTATGAATCCTATCTTTAAATTAATATTACTAAATTTATGTTAAAGACCATTATGTTATAAAAATAAAAAATATAATTAGACCATTTTATTGCGACGTTGTATGAAGAAATACCTTTTATTTTTTAACAAGAAATACTTATTGTGTTATCTTCTTTTTTTTTTTACAAGAAAAATATGATACTTGTTGATTATCTTTTCTTTTTTTTTTGACAAAAGAAGGAGATGTTATACTACATTTTTTTTTACTTGTTGTATTACTTTTTATTTTTATTTACAAGAAAAATAAAAAATGATGCTGCCAAAGTACATTTTATTTTTTTATGCCTTTTGTTTTATTTTTTTTGCAAGAAATCCTTGTTATATTACCTTGTATTTTTTGTACAAGAAAAATAAAAAAAAATGTTGTATTATCTTTTTTATCTTTATCTTGAAAAGACTTTTATTTTATATTTTTTCTATTTTTTACAACAGTATTTTTTGCTTTTGTTTATTTTTTGACAACAAATTGTATTTTTTACAAGAAAAGTAAAAAAATGTTGTATTATCTTTTTTATCTTTATCTTGAAAATTTTTTTATTTTATATTTTTTCTATTTTCTTACAACAGTATTTTCTGCCTTTGTTTATTTTTTTTTACAACAAAATTTTTTTTGTAGTTTTTTGTTGTGCGCTAAGGGGTTCGAACTCAAAAAAAAAAAGAAAATGTTATGTGCTAAGGGGTTCGAAGTCAAAATATTTTTTGGTGTTTGAACTCAAGACATACACTTGAAAATCACTGTTGTCCACCAACACGGCTACGTCGCCACATGTGATATTTATAACGTCTATAATAATATATAATCAATCATCTTGTTTTAATGATTTTTTGTAGGAATTATCCCACATCTAAGGATAAGTGTTGCTTGTTTTCCTATAGATTCATGTAGCGAAGACACTCCATTGCGCGTATAGAAAAAGAGAGGGAAGCAAACCTGATGTGAGTTTACACGTGTAGCCACATGTCACTCGTAAGTTGGCCACATGTCAGTGCCGTGAGGCCGAGGGAAGCAGGCATTGGTTAAGCATCACGTAATAGCCACGAAAATAAGAAAGCGAGCCTAATGTAAACTTAGCGTTGACAATGATTCGCAAGGCTCGGTTTGGCTGAAAAACCAGTTGGGTCATGGGCCAAGGGCCTATGGGTTGCACACCGGTGCCTGGGCTTGGGGCCCGGATGAACGGCCACTCGGCCTAGGGCCACAACCATGTTAGCCCAACCTTGTATTTTCTTTTTTTTTTCTTTTTTTTTTTTTATTTAAAATATCTATTCAGTTAGGGGCCCTTTGGCCCATCTGATCCGGCCAGCCTAACAAACAAACCCAGTCGCCAACCTTAGTCAAACATGACGTGACAAAGGACAATGTTAGAGGAGTCATGTCTATAAGCCGTGGTGTATGGAAGTCATAATGAAGATAATAAAGCATGGTCACTAAAGAATCCTACTGGGATAGGAGGGTAATATCTAAGGAGGGTTTGGAAATAGTTTTGAGCAAAGTTTCAAGCCATCTTATCATTGATATAAGGGTGTCAGGCCCATAGTTAGGAAATTGGCTATTAATCGTCGATTTTTTTTAAAAATCGGAATTTTTTAAAAAACGTTAAAAAGAGCTTTTTTTAAAAAAATTTCATTAAAAAAACTTGTTTTTTCCTAATAACGTTAAAACACGTTTTTTTGGAGAACGAATTAAACGGGCCTAAAAAAACATATTTTTGCTTGTGTTTTTTTTTAAAAGAGAAACAAATTTTTTCTTGCTATGTGTAATTTAAAAAAAAAAAACAATATTATTTCCAAAAAAAAAAAATCCTAAAATGAAAATTTTTATCCCCAATTGATTTATGTAGTGTTAGGGTTTATTGTCTTAGGGTTATGCTAAAATCACGTTCCTCTTCTTCAAAACCTCATTTACAGATTGAAGGTATGATTTTTTTTTTTTTTTTCTTTTTAACTTAAACATGTCAATGCTCAGTAGTTATTTTGCAAATGAAATATTGTTTGCTTGTAAATTTATAGAGGAAATTATTGTGTATAGAAATAATATAGATGCAGAGTAAAGAAAACCATATCGATCCAAAATCCAAATTTTTGTGATGAATAATATATGCATGCATTAAACTTTTTTACTCCTGCAAATTAAAGAAATATACATTAAAAATATATATAATCAGATTAAACCTTCGATATTTAGGGCATCGCTAAATACATACAAATAACTAAAAAGAAAAAAAAAATCTTAAAATCAGCAAACCTAATTTTATGCTCTTGCAAATTTCATAATCTTCATGCTCCTGCAAATTTCAGAAAAAGAACTCCGTCTTCTTGCTCCTGCAATTACAGAGAAAAACCCCATTTCATTTTCTCTCTCTAACAGAAAAACCCCCTTTCAATTTCTTTTTCTTTTTTTCTCTCTAATAGAAAACCCCCTTTCAATTTCTATTTCATTTTCTCTCTCTAATAGAAAACCCCCTTTCAATTTCTCTCGCAGATAAAACCCCCTTTCAATTTCTCTCTCTAACATAGAAACCCCATCTCTCTCTAACATAGAAATCCCCTTTCATTTTCTAATCCTTTCAGTTCCAGCCCATCCTCCCCTTTCAGCTCCAGGCATCTCCTTGCTTTCAATGGAGCAGCTATTCAGCTCCAGGCCTCTCTCTGTTCTCAATGAAGCAACGATTACCCATACTCTCCCTTTCAGCTCCAGCCTATCCTCCCCTTTCAGCTCCAGCCCTCTCGCTATTTTGAAGGAAACAGAAATTACCCATAGTCTTCAGGCATATCCCTATTTTCAACGATATTTGTTTTCAATGAAAACAAGAATATAAAGTATAAAACCTTATTTTTAACCATAGTTACAAAATGACTAAACCTTGGTTAAAGCATTTAATGAAAAAAAAATTGTACCTTTTTTTGGGTATGTTGATACTTGCTGAAGCATTTAAGTAGATTTGGGTATGTTGATATTAAGTAGATTTTGGGTACGTTGATATTTAAGTAGATTTGATATTTAATTGTATCTTCTTTTTTTTTGGTATGTTGATATTTAAGTATATTTGATATTTGTTAAAGTATTCAAAGTGAAAATTTATATGGTGTATGTTGGGTATGTTGATATTTAAGTATATTTGATATTTGTTGAAGTATTCAAAGTGAAAATTATATGGTGTATGTTGGGTATGTTGATATTAAAGTAGATTTGATATTTGTAAAAAAAAAATTGTGTTTTTTTTTGGGTATGTTGATATTTAAGAAGATTTGATATTTGTTGAAGTATTTAATGTAAAACTTTATATGGTGTACTTTTTTTGGGTTTTTTTTAAGTAGGTGTGATCTTTGTTAAATTATTTAATGTGAAAATTTATATCGTGCATTTTTTTTTTTTGGTATGTACTAAGTAGGTGTGATGTTGGTTAAAACATCTAATGAAGATATTCATATGGTGTATTTATCATGAACTTATTATTTTATTTTTTTATAAAGAGCATGAACGTCTAACGTGTGTACACTTATATATTATTATTTTTTATTTGTTAAAAAACAGGAAAGAAGATACAATGGTTAGGTCAAAAGATCCATTTTGGGATTATTGTGAAGAAAGAAGACATAAATTGTATTGCAATTTTTGCGGTGAAGGATTTTCCGTCGGGATAACAAGATTTAAATATCACTTGTCAAGAGAACAAGAGAATGATATAAAAGTTGGTCCTCAAGTACCAGATGATGTACAAGCTATAGCTGTTTCTGTGACACACGAGGTATCTTCTAAGCCTCCAAAGAAGAACAAAATTATATCATATGTTCAAAATGTTTATCAATGTTCGATAAACTTAGGTACATCTACTGTCAGTTCCCGTTTGCAAAAAAGTTCTTTACCTTCATTGTTGAATAAGAAAAATAAAGTTTTGTTGACAAAGAAGTTGCTCGTGCGTTTATTATGAATAATATTGCATTTAATGTTATTAATGCACGATCATTTGTCAATATCATAAATGCATGTATCAATTTTGGTCCTAGCTACACATTGGCAAGTTATTCTTCTGTTCGCACTAAATTGGTATAAGAACTTAAGACAGATGTCGATGCATATGTAGCTTCAATAAAAGAGTCATGGGTTCAATCAGGATGTACTTTGATATCAGATCTTTGGTTGAATATGAAAAACCGGTCATTCCTCAATGTTGTTGCATCTTGTCCAAAGGGATCAGTTTTTATAAATGCATTTGAGGTATCTGAGCATAGCATAACTGGATTATTTCTTAAAAAGATTCTTGTTCAAGTCATTGAGGAGTTAGGACTACAAAATACTGTTCATCTTATGACTGACAATGAATCAAATTATATACTTGCTGGTGATCTAATATAATCGAGATTCTCTCATATTCATAAAACACAGTGTGCTACCCCAGGGGTTGAATTTGCTTCTAGACGACATTGATAAAAAGGTTATTTGGGTACAAAATGTCACTAAGGATGCTAAGCTAATAGTGGATTTAATGTATCTCCATACCATTGCTTTAGATTTAATGAGAAATAACATTAATGGAAGGGAATTGAAAAAGTATGGTAAAACTAGATTTGCCACTAACTTTTTGATGGCTCAATCTGTATTGCATGTAGAAGAGGGTTTGAGAGTGATGGTTGCATCCTCTGAGTGGAGAGCTATGAATTATAGCAAGAGTAAAAATGATACAAAAATCACAGAAATAATTCAAAGCTCCAAATTTTAGAATGATACAATCACTACATTAGTGCATCTTATCAAGGTGCTTCGTTTGGGTGATAGTGAGTGGTCAACCATGGAATATTTATATGAAGCAATGGAAAGGGCAAAGGGAGCACTAAAGATAAATTGTAATGGAAATGAATCTAGGTATATTGAATTAGTGAAGATATTCGAAAAGAGGTGAAAGGAAAATCTAATTCAGCCCATTCATGCCGCTGCCTCATTTCTTAATCCAACTTTAATGTACAGTGGGTTTCTTAAACTTGATAATCCTGAAGTGAAGGCTGATTTTACCTTGATATCAAATTCAATTATCCAGACAAAACAAGAAACTGTATTCTTTTCAGAGTTGTTGAAGTACCATACGCGGGATTCAAATATATTTGATAGTGTTGCATTGGGATTATTGTCAACAGCTCATCCTCGTAAGTATCCTCTTGATTATCAAATTTTTGTATCTTCTTGTCAACAGCTCATCCTCGTAAGTATCCTCTTGATTATCAAATTTTTGTATCTTCTTGTATTATTATTATTATTATTATTATGCAGGAGTTGGTGCGAAGCATGCGAAGAAAGCATTCCACTGGTTCGAATGGTTGCCATTAAGATTTTGAGCTAACCATGTAGCTCATCAGCGTGCGAAAGAAATTGGAGTGCTTTTGAGGCGACTCAAACCAAAAAAGAGAACAGATTGGCACTAACTATGTTAACCGACTTGGTTTACAAACGAGTGAACTCGAAGATGATGGCTGCATCACGTGAAAATGAAATTCGAGATTGTAATGCAATTAATCTAGAACAACTTGGTTCATTGTCGGAAGAGGTTTCCGAAGAGGTGGAACATGAGGATACCTCTCCGGATAATGATGGTGATGATGCATGGCTACATGACTTGGGCATTACACATTCCCAAACTCCTAACTTTTCTTTTGACTCTACCCTACCTTATGCTTAATTTTGAATATTTCTAGTTAATTATGTTTTGAATATGGGATAACTGGATGAGAGTCATGAGTCATCTAAATTAATAGACTTAATTATATCAGTCTAGTAAAGTTTTTATGAATGGATTAGTTATTGATGGCTTTGACATAATTTTTATTTTTCAGAATTTCAAAATTTCTAACATTTTAACTTATCTGATTTTTTGACTCCGATTTTTTGAGCCCAGTCTGATATATTGGCGATATCTTTACATGAAGTATTTTTTCCGATCCATATTTTTTATTCGAATTTTCCATCTGACTTTTTAAAATAAAAACGATTTTTTCCCGATTTTAAGGTAAGCCGATTTATTGAAAGTCCCCGACTTGCTAACTATGGTCAGGCCGAATGTTCCTCATTTTTGTAAGAAGGCTTTTTTTTATTGTTACGAGAGGATATTTTAAGGGGCAAGCTTTCTATGCTTCCCCTACAACATAAAACTTATATACTCCCCCTTATCCAACTATCCATTCTGTATCGAGGGTTAAGATTGCCCCAATCACAATGTTACGACTCTACTCTATTTTATTTTTAATTTTTTTCTATAAACTATTTTGACACCAAATTTTGGATGTCGATTCCTCTATTAAACTCGCACTAGCGAAAAATATATAAAAAAATATTTTAAATAAAATAAAATGAACAAAATACCCTTAAAAGTTTCAGGGTATTTTGGTCATTATATTTTATTGAAATATTATTTTAATATTTTTTATAAGTGCTCCCCAATAAGAAGATGGTACGTACCAAATTTTAGATTCATACAAATTATATAAAAAAATTAAAAATAAATATTTTGAAACGTCAGATCTAAGATCAAATAGTGAGTGACTCTCTTGATCAAAATTGGACGGCTGGATGGTCGGGGGAGGATAGAACTTCTATGTTATAAGAGAAGTATAGAAACCTTTCATATTCTAATACTAAAGTTATTCTGGAACCGTTTTCATTGATGTCACCTCACTCTGGTAGCTTTTTATTTAATCCTATTTCTTTAGAAGTTTTTCTTTGTTATTTTATTGAGATAAAATACCTCAAATGGAATTTTTTTATCAAAATTTTCAGGGATTGGCCAAGGTGATCATGAATACTAAAAACAAATAAATAAAAAAGCTTAAAATTTAAAATCTACTTTTTTTAGGTCATTATTTTTTATATAATTTTAGTAGGTGCCCTTGCAATGTGTATCTTAAAGTTGGACGTTTGTAAGCTAACTCATGTAAATCTTTTTCATTTTGCAAAGATAAATTGCCTTTTGTAATCACTTCATGCATATATAAACATATAATCGTTTTTAAAAATAAATATAGGTAGTAAAATTTTAAAATATATCATCTTTATGTTTAATTAAATATTATATGAATAAATATATATTTATTTTTGTTTTTTGTCACATGTATTCAAGGGAATTTATTTAATAAAACTCTCCTATGTAGGGAGATAATCTTAGTTTATAAGGGGAGAGAGAAAAATCTAAGATTTTGAAGAGAGAATGTGTAAAAGCCATAGGAGAAGAGATAGAAAGTTGAACATTTCTCTTTCAAAAGACTATGAGAAAAAGGTTTGTGTCAGTTTTATCAGGATCGGGCCGGCCACCAAACAATTGAGAGCTTTAGAAAAAAGAAAAAAATGTTTGATATAATAGTTTAGAAATATAAAATGTATTAAAAGTTTAACTTTATTTGATCGAAACTTGTCAAACCTGCTGGTCCTCTCAACCAAAATTAGTCAGACATTGACTTTAGCTAGTTTTCAACCAAATATTATTTTTACCGTGAGTCACCCTGACCAAGGTACCAATCAGCAGTCTAATCGGGCAGACCACCTGTTCGGTCCAGTCTTGATAACTATGGTTTGTGTCGGGCGAAAGGCTTCTATACTTCTACTGTATAGAAATTCTATACTTCTCCCCAATCCAGCTATCCAATTTAGATCAAATAAGTCATTGACCGTTTGATCTAGATCTGATGCCTCATAGTATTTTATTTTTAATTTTAGTTTTTATTCTACAAATTATATAAATATAAGATTTAATATGTGCTATCATCTCAAAGGGAAGAACCTAAAAAAAATAAAACAAATATTTCTAATAAAATAAATGACCAAAATACCTTTGAAACTTTCAGTGGTATTTTGGTTATTTTATTTTATCGAGAATATTGTTTTTATAGTTTTTTTAGGTGTGAATTTAAGAGAAGAGTGGAAGCTCAAAATTGGTGTAAAAATGTTTTGAAAAATTTTTGAAAATAAAATAGTGTAGAGGTGTGACATTGGCATTAGATCCATCTCAGCTGCTCATTCAAATCTGACGGCTAGATATATAGAAGTATATAACTACTATACATTAGGGGAATATAGAAAGCTTGCCCGTAGCGAAAAGGTTTCTATACTTCTCCTACTGTATAGAAGTTAGGCCCTTGTTGCAAGCTTTTTATACTTCTCCTTATGTATATTACCTATATATCCCTATCCAACCATCCATTCTGAAAGGATGGCTGAGATGACTTCAATCATAATGTCACTCCTCTGCACTATTTTATTTTTTATTTTTTTTCTAAAAAATATTTGCACACCAAAATTTGGGCATCAACACCTCTCTTAAACTCGTACCTTTAAAAAATATAAAAATAATATTCTCAATAAAATAAAATGACAAAAATACTCCTAAAAATTTCAAATATATTTTAATCATTTCTTATATGAAAAATATTTATTTGATATTTTTTTTCAAGTGCGTCCCATTGAAATGATTGCATATACTGAATAAGAAAGGTAATAACCTTTGTGGTCAAGTAATACACCTTCGGTTAAGAATTACTAGAATATTCAAACACCAAAAAATGCACTCTGCATAATGGGTATTCTGAGTTATTTTGGAGCAGTGATATGAAGAAGATAATGATGTATTTTTTTATTTCATACTTCAGTGATATTGTGTGTTTTTTGGAGTAGGATCTATCTGCAAAATTTCAGTCGAAGATCCTAAGGGAATTGAGAGTTATTGACTCATCAATGAATGGTGTCATTTCTGAACCTGCAAAATCTAGGAATTGTCCATTGAGTTACATAATTTTTCCCACCAACTATATGATTTTATTTCTAGCTAAAATTGGACTGTAACTCATAAAATTGAGTCCACTTTCAAACAAAAATAGTTTAATCAAGAAATTTCTTGTGGTTTGAAAGATATCATCTATTTATTGAAGGGTGGGCACGTGTTATTTTCTGTAACGAAAACTATTTCAATGACTTGGAAGTTAGAAGTTTATTTTCATTCTTAATATAATGTTTTATGGTCTAAACTAAGTTTTTAACTTTCATTTTGAGTCTGTTTTCTAATAAAATTTACTTGAAAGTGAAATATCTATGGAAAGGGGAGAATAAAAATTTTGGATTTAAGAGATGTCATCCTAAATTTTTGCAATTTGGTATGTTTTTAATTAAGACATAAATATCTATATTTATCAAGCCTATATAACATAGTGATATGAGGCTTGTGAAAATATATATATTACTATTATATGTCCACTTTCAAAAAAAATTGGTTTGAAAGAGAAACTCTTTGAGAGTAGAGAGAAAAGATAATTTTACTATATATTGTTCATCCTGTAATTCTACAGTATGATTTATTTTGTGATATGAATGTCACTTATTTATTTCTCTGAATAAAAGTATTATTTGGGATTCACACTATGATGTTACGATTTGGTTTGAATCTAGATTTTCAACATAAAAGATTTCAAGAAGAAATTCTTTGAGGATTGAGAGAAACATTTTTTTATTGAGAGGTGCTTAACCTGATTTTCTGTTGAGAAAATTGTATTGTGACGTAAATGTCACTAAAATGAAGACTCATTAAATTATATGATTTAGGGATGAAACTAAGCACTATTTTATATTTTTTAATCTATTTCAATACTCAAAAGGATTCAGAGAAAAACTCTATATGAGTTGAGAGATATCATATTTTTATCATGGGATGCTCATGTTCGATTCTTTAGTAAATTAAAAGATGTGGCATGTTAATGCCCATCTTTGGATTCTTCATAATGAAGACTTTTTTAGGGCTCATTTAAAAATGTTTTATAGTGTTCCATGAGTATGATTTATTATAGTAAAACTTAATAGAGATGTAATATAGAGTTGGCGACATATGATACTCTATATGAAGAGTATTTTATCAGGGAATAGCTGAAAGAAAAAAAAACAGAATACATATAAAAGCATCTTGGTTTCTTCAAGATCAAGCGATACATGGATAGACTTTGTGGTAGCAAAAAAACGCTAAAGATCAGTGGGAGAATCAAATTTGTGATATTTAAAATGATGGGATGAAGAAGAGAATTTCTTCACGGTGTAAGATAGAGAAAATCTAAGTGCCAAAGAGATAGACACTTCGTGACATGTAAAACCATTAACCAACATATTCTCCATAAGTTGTGCGTTATTTCAAGATCACAAAAGCTTGTCAAACAAATAAAAGCAATGAATCAATAAAGCCCATGTACCACACTACATGATTTTGAAACATGAAATTTATCCCACATTACATGGTAAGGTCATATAAGGAAAGAGGACTTAATAACTTTTTATTTTATGTTTAATATGCTTTGGTTATATTTTAGCTAATTGTTTTATGAATCTGTATGGAGTGTATGGAAATAAAGTGATGGGTGCTAACAAATTTGAAAGAGCTGATTTATAAATACCCTTTGTTTTAATGTCTCCTTGTGCTTAAGTATGAACTACTTGAGGTAGTAATACACATGGAGATGTGATTTGATTAGGGGCAATAAGAATGAAACACGAGAGGTGGGTGTGGCTCATTCAAATATGTAAGCATGAAGGGAGTGCTCTGATGGAACTCAATATTAGTGACTATCCTTCCAATAATGTCTATAATATGATGTGCTGCTTGTGATGTTGATCTCTTGATAAATTCTCCACCATATTTGCCAAAAATGAAGTATTTTGTCAAGGCTTTAATAATCATTCTTTAGTAATGCTTTATTTTAGATAAAATTATAAGATGGTATATATAATTTGTTTTTGTGACTATGAACTTGACTTGGTAGGAAATTAAAAGTGAATACGGAAAAATGATTTAAGCAGGCTAAGCATATATTTTAAAATTGGATGATTTGAGAAAAACCTAAGTCTATGAATATGGTTTTGAGAAAACCACATAGTCTTACAAGGTCCACTAATTATTTATGAAAATAATTTTAAACCATCATATTATTATCTAATTATTGCTTGTGAATGCATATATATGTACCAAGTCAACAGTTTTTTTTTTATTAAAGAGAAAAGCATTGTGTTTTGGAGGTATTTATAAAAATAAGAGAAAAACTATTATGCACTGGTTTTTAAATACCCATATGCCTTGACTCATGTTTCTAGTTATTTAGAATACTCGATTACCTAAGACCTTGAACTATAGGGAATATTGTAGGAATGTTATCTTGCAAGGTTTCCTTGACACATGTTGTGTTGATTAAGATAACTTGGTTTGTATGGATTTACTACTAAGATGATTAGTGTGGTTGGACCTTTATGGTTCATGAAAGTTTTGCATATTGTGAAACCAATGGGCATTGAATTACTTATTATATAAGAATGCTAAGAATGTATATGTTGTATGTGTAATAATTGAGTGAGAGCTACTACAGTCTCATAGTTTTTTTTTAGTTGCTTGGATATTCAGATATACAAGTGCAAGCTATCTCACGGATCCAGATGATGTAAAATCTACATCTAGATATGTGTTCATGCTTGAAAGGGGTAAAGTTTATTGGAAATGAAAGAAACAGGATGTGGTGGCATTATCCACCATGGCGGTAAACTATGTCGCGTGCTGTTTGATGGGCAAGGAGGTTGTATGGATTAAGAAATTTTTTAATCGACTTGACTTTCACCCCGTGCATTGTGAGGCAATAAGGATTTTCTGTGACAATATGATGGTGATTTGTGTGTCAAAGGAGTCATGATTCCATAAGATCTCCAAGCATATAAAATCATATTTCTATCACTTGAAGAATGAGGTGAGAGTGAGATTGTAATTGGGGATGAAAGAAAGTGACGAAGACATAATGTAAGGCCTACAAAGTCCAAGTAGGAGATGTTGGGTGAATGTGGCGTCCTATGAGTGCTTGTAAAATGAAATGATATAATGAAACATGAATTCAGTGGGAGTGTGGTTCCTCGTGGTCCATACTAAGCAAACGATATTTGTTGATACTGAACTGTGTTTGACGGTCGATGCCAGTCGATTGAGAAAAACCTATGTTACCTTGGGATAGAAAATTAACCGATGAGGATTTTAATGGGTCATCCTTTGATGAGGTCGGAGTATGCTCGGATCAGTAAGCCGAGGGATTGTGAGACCCTTGTGTGTGATGGTGGCCTTCAGAAACGGGGGTTAAAGCCTCATCTATGTACCATCACATGGCATGCATAATGATAGACTATTTTGGGAAAACAAACCACCTTTCAGGTGAAGCTTATGCATGTACAAGAGATACCCATATTCGTCAAAGGAGGTTTGGTCACATCAGGTCTAGTCGATTTTAGCACGTCTCTAAGGGAGAACTGAAATCTACAGACAGGGATTGCGACCCCTTGGCTCATCGGCCAGACTTTGGTGACCCACTAATGAGCCCCTTTTTGGATTGTGGGTCATGAAAAACACTGTGTCGATTTGATAAAGCAAGTGTGGTATGTCGTCCACAGTTGAAAGTGAAGTGCCCCAATGTTTTATTGATTTAATTCTTAAACCATATGGATCATTTTCCAATCTAATGAATTTAATTATGTTTGTTTTATGATATATATATGATTTTAGAATTATTATTTGAATTTTTCTAGATCTTTGGATATTTTATTTATCAAATTTGAATTTATAAAATCAGATATATTGATTTTGCATTGATTTAAATATTCAAATAAATTCTAAAATTATTTTATTGAGTTTTAAAAATATTTAAAATTGCATGGGGGCCCATTGTGCACATGGGCCCACAATGGCCTAGATGGTAGGCCCCATGAGATAGTCTCATGGGTGGCATACCCCACCCATTTAGAAGCTTTCTATTTTTGTGACAAGTGACTTTTGTTTGTCGGCTAGGTTGCTATGTGTTTTGGAAAGGTATTGGCTTGAGGAAACTTTGAATAAATTTTTGAAAAGTATGAAAAAGCTTGTGCATTATTTTGGTATGCACAATATTATAGTTAGAATTATTTTATTTAATTTATATTGATGGAAAAATGGTTTAGAAAAAGGAGATAAAAGTTTTAGCACATTTTATAATGTTAATGGCTCATCTATGGGATAGAGGGCTTAAATCGCTCATCCCATAAGTTACTCAAGATTAATGGTTCATATTCAATCTCATAAAAAGAGGTAAGTCAAGAAAAACCTTAAGAAACTCTAATATTATTTAAAGCCTATAAAAATATATTGTCTGTACCAAAAATCTCTACACCTTATTTTTATATCTCTCTCCTAAGAAAGTTTATATCTCTCTCATGAAAGCCCAAAGGGGTATGTCCCACTTTCTCATTTTTGATCTCTCTCTCACCCACACTGTAAAAAGGGGTAAGCGTTTAGGCTATTGGTTTCTTTTATCTCTCAACTATTGATTTATGGCTAAGGGTTTTAGGGTATAGCAAAAGGATAATCCATCTCTCTCAAACTAGATTGTTAACGAAATTCACCTAATGTTTGAGTTTGTGATCAAAGGGGTTTCATGTTCTATTGGTATGGCTTGGCCTAAACGTACTTTCTCGATTGAGAGTCATCAGATGGTGGTGACTCGATGTGGGGTATAATAAGTCCAGTTGAGGTAATCTTCGACACTCTATTTTATTTTTTGTCATATTTAATTATATTATCTTTATATTCTCAAGCATAATAATTGTGGATATTTTCTTTGTTTAAAAAAATTGGTTTAATGACATCAATATTTTTAAGATATTGTATTTATTAGTTTTATTTTTTTTGAAACAAGAGTTATTATAATAAAACTAATAATATTTACCAAAATAATAATAGTAATGAAAAAATATATATATATATATATCCTCAGCAAGATCACATTAATCTTTCTTTCAAGAGTTTGAGTCAACCCTAACCCAGATCCTACCATATAGGGTCATGGTGAGGCTTAGACCTAACACGTACTCGGTTTCATCTAGGTGAAATGTACTCGGACTTGACCCATCTGTTTGGGTTTCGCTGGTTTTTGTTGAAGTGATGAGGGAGAGCATGAGATGTGAGACTGAGACGGAGAAAATGGTTTTTGTTTAGCAAACCTCAAACGACCCACATGGAGGTGGATTCTGTTGTTTTTTTCAATCTTTTGGGCTTTAGATTACCCGTCACGCTCATATTTTATTTCCCAGCCCTCTCCTTGTGTAATCCATTTCACGTTAAATAGGGAAATCTCGGCTGCTTATACATACCCAAACACCGAAAAATATCATTTATTTTTCTGTAATAGATTTTCAAGTATGCCTCTAATAATAAAATATAAGAAAATTGTTTTATGTGGGCTGGACTGTATTTCTATATACGTGGTTTTAAAAGCATAAAGTATCCATCTTCATCTTAAAGATGGATGCAAGTAGGTGTTCCATCTAAAAACAAAAGAAACTAACAGTACTAAAATTATTATTTTTAACTTTTAAAAATTATTTATTTTTTTATATTTATAATCTCCATATTAGATATTACATGTCTTTACAATTAAGTCTTAAAATCCATCTCAAAAATAGATTTCTTAAGAGGGCCACATTTCTACCTATGCGGGCTTGGCCGCATAGAAACAAGGTCCTAAAATATAATAGTTTAATTTTTTTAAATAAAAAAACTCTTACTTTTAAAGGTAGCAACATTAAACAATCCAATTAAGATGCACCTCCAAATTTTATCGTAACATGTAATTTTATTGTAATTTTTTTTTAAAATTATCTTAAAAACTATTTTCGTATCTAGATAATGTATTTCAAGATGCATTATGTTTTAGACTTAAAAACATTTATTTTAATATTCACACATCTTGATGTCAAGATGACCAATTAGAGGTTTTTCAAACAGCCATTCCGATAGATTTTTGAGGTGCATGTGATTCTACATTTTAAGATTGTAACCAACTTTTCCCTACTTTTAATTGTAACTTTTTTATATATTATCATATTAATGGTCTCTATGTTACTGATTATATAAATCTAAAATATTAGGTGTAAAACTCATCTGAAAAATATATGAAGAACTGAGTCCTGGGACACATAGAAACCATGATCGGATAACACGAGCGACTGAAAAAAAATAAAAAATGTAGCATATGCTCCCGCGGGATCATATAAAAGAAACTAAAACAGAGCAAAAACAAACAGAAAACTCAATTCCCCATCCATGGCGCCCTGCGAACCCAAGGTCACGGCGCGATGCCCCTACTGCTCCGGCCCAGGCCCAGCTCGTTCCCCTCCGCTGTCGGCCGTTGCCCGATCGGCCATGACTGCCGAGTGCACCTCCTGCGGCCGCGTCGTCGGCGAGCGTCAGACCGTGACCCACGAGCTCTTCTTCGAGCGCGCCCAGTACTCGCCACTGTGCATTGTGACTCCTGATCTCTCCAACCCCGCCAACCTCCCTCCTCCCATGGCCGACGACCCCTTTGAATCCACCGGCTTCATCACCGCCTTCTCCGCGTTCTCGCTCGACCTCGTCCCCGTATTTACACGATCGGCCTGGGGGTTTTCGGGTTATTTGGGCGAGATGGAGAGGGTTTTAATGGAGTTTGATTCTGATGCTCTGAGGGCTTATTTGCAGATAGTCGACGTGTCGAGTATTTTGGGGGTGGAGAGGGATATAAGTGACCATGCTATCCAGTTGTTCAGAGACTGTGCTTGCACTACTTATCTGAGGAATAGGAATGTGGAGGCCTTGGCGACTGCGGCCCTGGTGCAGGCCGTAAGGGAGGCTCAGGAGCCCCGGACTTTGCAGGTTAGTTAGGGTTTTTGTTTTTTCTTTTTTCTTTTTTTTTTTTTGGGTTCTTGTTTTTGGGTTTTTGAGGGTTTTTTGTGATATTTTTGGGGATTAATTGGTTCTTTGGATTGATGGTGTATGGGGTTTTGTCTGGCTTTCGTCCATTTGTTGGGTTCTTTTTTTTTTTCTTTTTCTTTTTAAAGTTATTGTTTTGGATTTTTTTTGGTTTTTTTTTATTTTTGTTATATTTCGGTGAGTACTTTTTTTTTTTTTTGAGTTATTGTGTTGGGATTTCTTTTGGTTTTTCTTTATTTTGGTTATCTTTCGGTGATTAATTGGTTGTTTGGAATGAAAATTTGGGGTTTTCGCTGGCTTTTATTCTGTGTCCGCTTTTTCGATTTCTTTTTTTTTTTCTGTTTTTTGAGGGACTCGATATGTTTCGATTTTTCTTTTTTTTCTTTTTTTTTTTGATTGGTTGTTGGAATGTAAATATGGTGTTTTGGCTGGATTTTGTACTGTGTCCATTTACTGTAGGTGGTTTTGGTCCTTTTTGGTTTTGTGCTTGTTTTTTTACAAGAACATGGTTGGTCCGAAGCAGTGAGAAAACGATATGGACCAAAGCCTCAAGGACATGGTTGGAGTAGTGAAAAAAGATGCAGATCTTATAACCTGAGCCCTCATGTGCCGTCTTGATTGGATGGCAAACCAAGATTTTTGTAGTCAACCTCAAATAGTTGGAGAAAAGGCTCGATGATGATTTCTTTGCAATAAAAAATTTATGTTCATTGACACGTTGGTTTTCGGTTGTTTGAATGGCAATTTTGGGGTTTTGGCTCGCTTTCAGCCCGTCTATTTTATTGGGGAGGTTTTGTTTTAGATTGTTTGCGTTTTAGATCGCCTTCATTCTTTGTTCATTTTTGGAGTCGCTTGATGGACTGGTAGTGTTTTAGTGTTAGCATGTTTGGCTCTTTGGATTGGAGGCTTTGGGGGGTTTTAACATACCCCTTTCCCATTGGATTTTTTTCTTTTCCTTTTGTTAATTGAATTGGTTCTTTGGATTGAAAAGTGCGTGTCTGTTTAATTTATTCTTTTGGTTGTTTGGATTAGAATGGGTTTTTGCTGGGTACTCTGGTTTTACTTTATGTGCTACTGGTTTACTGTAAATTTTATGATCTGCCCCACTGAATTGGCTATAGGAAAGTTGGTTTTAGCTCTCTATCTCTCTCATTCGAAATTTGGGTATAGGAAAGTTGGTATTAGCTCTCTATCTCTCTCATTCGAAATTTGGGTATATGAAAGTTGGTTTTAGCTCTCTATCTCTCTCATTCGAAATTTGGGTATTTAGGGAGATTGATCATTTGGAAAATAATGCGCTTTGACCTGCTGAATTGGCAACTGGAAAGATGGGGTTCTTGCTGCTTCAAATGTTGGTTTAATATAGCTTAGGTTAGAAAATTATGTGGTTCATTCTTGAACCACCGGCTAACTAGTTAACTGTATGCATAATTGTTCATCTGGTTCTCTTCCAATGAACTGGTTGTGAAATAGAACACTGGGACTTACAGCTCTGTCTCTCACTCTGGCATTTGGTTTTGGAGATGGTTTCTTGGATTGGAAACTTACCCTTTTTTCAATATTTATTTGGTTTGTCTTCTGGAACTGCTCTTCTACGATAGCTTGTCTGATCATTCTATGTCTGGTTATTTGTAATTTCTAGGGGGTTTTGTTCGTGGGTGCTCTCACTCTTTCTGAGTTCATGTGAATTGGGAATTTGGCTTCATTTTTGTATATTGTTGCATTCTCATTTGATAATGTTTGATGGGCAGTGGTTAGGATTTGGGGTTTTTCCTGAATTTTTCTTGAATATTTTGCTGAACTGAAAATGAATAACTTGCCTATGTTGTCCATCCAATGCCCTATTGTTTCTTCCCCATTTTATTATCTCTTTGCCACTTCTGCAAATCCTTCTCTTCTGTACTTCTCATTCTATGTGTGTGCATGTACTATTCCTGCAATATCTCATTCTTCACTGTGTTTCTCTCTTTTGCAACAGGAAATCTCAGCTGCTGCAAATGTTCCTCAGAAAGAGATTGGCAAATACATCAAAATTCTTGGCGATGCTCTGAAATTAAGCCAACCCATCAACAGCAACTCCATATCAGTGCACATGCCCAGATTTTGCTCTCTCCTGCAACTCAACAAGTCTACCCAGGTGCACTACTATCCTCCAAATTATCTTCAAAGCTGAATTTATGTATTCTTTTGTGTCTCTACCTTATCTTCTGGTCATTCTGGTCACTCTTAAAAGCTTAAGATAATTGTCAAGATATTTCTTAAGATATATAGGACTCCGCAATTCTACCCATATTACTCACTAGATCAACTTTTCTTTTCTTTTTTTGATTTTCTTTTCTTTTTTTGATAATTACTCATGTTATCAAATTCCTACCAAAACCCATGCTTTCCATTTTTTTTTCAAGTCATGCTTTCCTGCAAGTTTTAATCTAGTCTTTTTTTTTTTAAAGTCATGCTTGCCTCCAAGTTTTAATCTAATCTTACTCCAGCTCTTAATTTAACAATAAAGTGTTAACTCTTTGAAATTCAAAACCCTCCAGGATCTTGCCACCCACATTGGTGAAGTTGTCATAAACAAATGCTTTTGCACCCGACGGAATCCCATAAGTATCTCTGCAGCTGCCATTTATCTCTCTTGCCAACTCGAAGATAAGAGAAAAACCCAAGCAGAGATCTGCAAAGTTACAGGACTCACTGAGGTCACACTGCGCAAAGTGTACAAAGAATTGCTCGAGAATTGGGATGACCTCTTGCCCCCAAATTACACCCCTGCCGTTCCTCCTGAAAAAGCCTTTCCCATGACTGTAATCACCTCAAATCGATCCAAATTGGATCCCCTCGAAACCATTTCTCCTACCACCTCACATTTTGAAAATCAAAAGCAGTCCGAAATTCCCAAGCCCCCCAAAATTCAAGAAGCCTCAGAAAATGGCCCCTCAACAAAGGGCAAGGAAAAGGAATCAGACCCTAAAACCAACTCTCGCTGTCCACCACCCATTGTTCCTTATGGCCTAAACATTGACCCTAGAGTCTTTCATGAAATGGCCCATGCCCAAGCGCCCTTTTGGCAACAGCCCCAACTTCTGTTTGGTTTGCCTGCTTTCAGGCCAGAGGGAGAGAAGATTCAGAGGAGAGACCAATTGGGTCAAAAGAAAAATCGGGATGTTGTTATGCGTGATGTTCAACCAGGCTCCTCACGCTCTTCGGATTTCAAACAAAAAGTGGACAGAGATGTTAAGAATATTAATGATAGTGATGTGAAGATTACCAGTGATAGAGATGCGAATATTAATACTAGTACTAATAGTACTGTGAGTAGTGGTATGAGTAACGCTCAATGGGGGACTCAATTTTCAGGCGTACCAGGAGGTAACATGTGGCCTGTTCATGGGCAGCTTGTATCGGGTGGTTATGTTCGATTTGTGCAGCCTCAAGCAGTTTCAGGTTTTGGTGCTCCAATACAGGGAGTCGGGAGTGAAAAAGACGGGTCTTGTGGAGATAGGGGAGTTGAGAGACTAAGCATGGGTTCTTCCTCAGATCGAATGGATTGTTTGCCGATGAAGCAAGATAATAGTGGAGGGAGTGGGAGCACCCCATCAGATGGCCATAAAGGGCGAGGTTGATATTCTTGCATTATTGGGGTTTGGCCTCTTGGTTATCATGGGGGTGTTATGGGCTTCAGCACAATGCACAAGTTATGAGTTCCTGCTGAACTTTCCCAGAGAAAAGTAGCCCCCCAAAAGAGTGGATCTTGTGTTAAATGGGATTTTATACTGGGAAATTATATGTACACACTGGGGATACTGTGTATGGTGTGAAAAGAAAGTTTCTCTTGCACAATGTGTATATTGAAAATATTTTTAGAAGGATCTTTGAATGTCAAAATCAGATTTTGAGCTCCTCTGCACCTTCATGTTTGCTAGGTAGAGAACAGTGTTACCATTGTGCGTCATACTTTGTCTCCATATAAATCTGTATTACTTTGGAAGATTGAGCGACCATGATCTAGAAGCCTGTGTTTGTGTATGTTGTTTTGTTCTTCTTTTCTCAGGAAATTTATCAGTATGCACCTAACTTGTCAACAATTTGATAATACCGGTTTTCAACTATTCCAATTCATGGTAATGTGTATTTTGACTGGTGTTTTGAAGTTAATTCAAAAGATAAGAGAAATATTAAATATGAAATAGTTGATCTCTCACGTATATTTTAATAAAAAATATATTTATACTAGAGTGAGGCCCTAAACAATCAAATTAAGCCACACCTCTAAAATTCTCTAGAAGATGTTGTTTTGATGTCCAAAAATCCTCAAATCGATCATCTTGACCTCAAGATTTATGGACAAAAAAATGGATTTCAAGTCAAATAGTGCTTTTTGTAATGTATTTTTTGGACAATCAATTTACAAGTGTTCATAATTAAATTTTATAATTAGATTTTAGAGTTAGATTTTATAATTAGATTTCATAATTAGATTTTATAATTACAAGTGTACATAATTAGATTTGAAACTGTAGATTTTATAATAAGAGATGAAAATAAATCTTAATGCCATCACAAATACTTTCAGTACTAAAATAGCATCTTTCAACACTATTTGAAGGTGCACCTTACTTTGATTGTGTAGGGTCTCAACCTTAACAAACCATACCCTTTTAACAAAGTTCCCTTTTATGTCATGGCTAATACTTTGAACAAAGTTCCCTTTTATGTCATGGCTAATGCTTTGGATAGGTCACTTAGTTTGCAAAATAGAGGTTAGAGTCCCACATCTGGAGCTTGCAAACGAATAAAGTTCCCTTTATGTCATGGCTAATGCTTTGGATAGGTCACTTGGTTTGCAAAATAGAGGTTTGAGTCCCACATCTGGAGCTTGCAAACCATTGTCCCAAGCCAAGTTGACTGAGCAATGTGATATATGATTTGCAGTGAGAATTAACATTGGTTATAATCTCTCTTGCAAGCCAAATTAACCAAGAGAGTGACTTGGTGTTGTTTAATATACAATTGCCTGATGGAGGTTCTGTTTCTTTTTACTTGTCCTTGAGATTACTCTAGAAACAAAGAACATTGATAATTTTCACAACAATTTAGCCAATAGGGACTCTATCCTACTCATGTAACAAAAAATGTAAATTTATATTGTTCTTATTTTTGTTAAATATATAAATTTAATATTAACTGACTTCAAATAGTTGAGATAAAACTCAAATTATGATATTCATTATATAAGCCTCAAATTTTTTGTTTATTTACATAAGTATTATCTTATTGAAGTATTACCTTGTCGATCTGTACACTCCCACATAAACGGATCCTGAGGTTGTGATGGACTTCCACAAAATGAGGAGTTATTTAACATTCCAGGTTACACACACATGTTAGGTTTTTGGGCTCCATATCAATATATCCATTGTTCCCATACGAATGAATATTGAGGTGACGATCGCCTTTCGTAAAATGATGAGTTATTTAACTTTCGTAAGTAGATTGGGGGACGAGACCTCAACATAACATCCCATCCTCCATTCTCATCGTTAACATATCAAACAAAAAAAATGCTTGTTTTCATGTGCTAGAGTGCTACCCTTTTTTCCCATGTAACTCGAGTCAAGTTGGTCCAAGCACCTTGAAAGTTTATTTAAGGTTGCAACCTTATATTGTAGAAATCCGGTGGACCTAAAAAATCTAACAAAAAAGAGTGCTCTGGAGTTAGAAAACCTTTATCTCGACCTCAAGATGTATGGATATAAAGAAAAAAAAAAATCAAGTTAAAAAAATAGTGCATCTTGTAACAAGTTATGTGGACCGTCTATTTTCAAGATTTTCAAATATTAGATATGCTAAATCTATATCATTTTTAAAATTTTCAAATTTTTAAGTAGTGTTACATAAAAATTTTCAAGTCATCATAAGATTTATGATACTGAAACCACATCTCCAAACGTATGCCTTACTTCAATGGAGGCAACCTTATATAAACCTCATACTTTAAGAAAAGCCCGAACAAAAAGAAAAGCGAAAAAATCAAGAGGAAGAAGAATCAGAACCTCGACCAGATAAACAAGCATCATATAATGTTTATCAGAGAAGTCAAAAGAGAAGCTGCTTGCACCATGCGAGACTCGGATTCGGCTTATTTGTGCACTGACTGCATAAATAGTCAGGGAGCATAGGGCAAGGTAGTGGAGCGTATTCCATATTTGGTTGGAAGACTACAATTTTTGCACTCCATATTGTACTTCTATGAACCATTTTTGACCTGAGCAATGTTTGGCTACATTTATCCTATTGATGTTGTAATTGTAGCTGTAGCTGTAGCTGTCGCTATACAGCTACATTGTGTAGCTGTCGCTATACAACTTCAAAAAAATGTTTGTATTTTTAACGTGTCAATCAAGAGTGTCATCTGTATAGTGTGTCAATAAGTAAACATGCTTATTGTATCTGTTTAGTATGTCAATAAGTAAACATGCTTACGCCGACAGTCAAAGAACCCTTTGGTGAGGAAGAGGAGTGATAACAACGACTCCTGGAGAATTTGTTTGGAATGGTGATTTGAACCAGACCTGGCACTTTGCCAAGTCCTAGTGACTCAAGCGAGTCTGACCCTGACTAGCCAAGTTATGAATCACTGGTTTGGAAGAACAAACACACATAGAAACAAAGGGACAGGCTGTATAGCGACAGCTACCCTTACTCTCACATACTGATTGTGAAGAAAATGCCCATTGAAAATAGCCAAGTAATCTCCATGCAATAATAGCATCGATCTAGAAACCTCACTTTCTACATGCAAGAAACTCAACTCTCTTTACATCCAAGGACTAAACGAATGGCATAAACACCGAAAATGGAAAGAGCGGGTCTTGGACTTCATCAAGCATTAGTTTATAAAGCTGAACATTAACTCTAGAAATTCATTCACCTACTACTAAATATATATTGTATTTGGTTTCGTGGAGACAATATAGTGATGATGTAGCTGATACCCTGATAGCTTTATGCTCAAATGAACTGGTGAGCAGGTCGGAAAGCTACTATGTACCATAATTCTGGTTCTTCACTGAGTAATCAAGAATGGCTTTCACGACTGCTCCATACTTCAAAGATTTTAACCTCCCCATGTGTCTGCAACCATGAAATCAGTTCATAAATCAGTATATTGAACTATATGAATCGCACTGACATCCACACCTGCAGCCACGTATTCAGTTCATAAAAAGCAGAATATAGCATCATAATATGAATAAGTATATATATATATATATATATATATATATATATATATATATATATATACGACTACTATATATAAGTATACTAGTACCTATACGTATATAGTTACTAACTACTACTACTACTACTACTAGACTACCT